CAGCATTTCTGAATATCAGAACATGTGGGGGGAAATTGCTGAGTATATGAGCAGTTGAACCCAGAGGCTAAATCTCAATCTGTGGCTTTAATGCTAACTGCTGCCAAGACAAACGGGCAAAGTTAGATGCACATTCTTTCTGTGCTCTGCTCATCCCTTCAAAATGAAGATTTTGTTCTATATTGAGTTCTGAGATCCTGAAATGATGGGTTCAAGCTCCAGTTTAAATTGCTGTGTTCACTTTAAACTGGAGCTTGTGGATTCATAGTTCATTGGTCAGGACTCTACAGGGGTTCTAACAGCTGTTAGTTAAGCAACTTGCTACTGAAGGTTAAGTCTGCTTCAGTGGTCAAACTCATGAAATGTTTGTTCACCCCAGCATCTTCATTTGAAAGGGAGAAAATGCCTGTGCAAATATTTGTCTAAACAGATTATTTAAAGTTGGCTGGCCTTGAATGGGACTTGGCATTGTTGGAGCTCTAATCTAGTGCACCTAATTTTAGTTTATGGACAAAGTTTGCTTTTTTTAAAAGGGGAAACAAATCACACATCTCCAGTGACATGTTCTAGTTTGCATGGCAACATGCTGGTGTCTGTAACCCTACTAAGAGTTGGGGGTTCTTCAAATTCAACTTCTTGACTGCTTAAGAGCTCAAATCTTCCATACTCCACCTAATTGGACTACCTGTAGCATGCAGCAAATCAAATGGCTTTAATTCAAATATCCACAGCAGTCAGTCAAGTAGTTCAGACTTGTGGGAACATTTTTCTGTAACTACATGCATTGAGTGGTGATGAATGGAAGTGGAAAGGCACATTCTCCAAGGTATGCTTTGCTTCACTGGTCACCTTCTACTTATGGCATTTTTTAAGTGTTCCCAATTTTGAAAGTTCTCTTGGCTGGGCCCATTTTAATAAAAAATCTAAGTTTGACTAGAGGGGAAAATGTTAACACTGTACTAGCATGTGAACAATATTGAGATGGATTTAAACTGAAACTGCTTACTAGAGTCAAAATCTTGCCATGTAATGGTCTCCAAAGTAACTGTCCTATTTCTATGACTAACTTTAGTGTACTAAAGGTTCCCATACATCCATTCAGTTAATGGGTTGTAGTACCCCCACTCACCTGTCAGCTTTTATCATGCAATTACTCAGTTTTGGCAAAGACTAACTTTCACTTGGCTCAATATTTTGACGACAAAACTCAGGGTGAGTTGCATTATGCTTTTTAGATGGTAACTTTGGGAATGAGGTTTATTTATGTAGACCGTTCGAAGCAAGAGGTTATTGTATATCATGGAATTTTTTCCAAAATAGTTTGTTTGGTGTTGGGCAACCCATTAAATCTTTATCTTGTCACTACAGGAGGAGACCAAGGTGTTTTGAATGGTTTCTTCAGTGACTGGGCAACAGCTGACATCTCAAAGCATCTCCCCTTCATTTACAACCTCAGCAGCTTAGCCATCTACACTTACCTCCCAGCATTTAAGCAGTAAGTGTCAATCTACAGAACTCGTGGTAATGATGAGGAGGGGGGGAAAAATTCAACTGTAAATGTAATTTGAATAAACCAGTGCTTTCATTTGCCATTTCCTGTGTATAAAAAACACAATTGTTACAACCCATCAGTCTGTCAATGTAACTTTGAACTTGTGAAGACCAAAGACGTAAGTAGACCCCTGATAACATGAACATGTTGTAAAGTTATGACACGACCTCAAGTTACTGGGGGAGATGAGCAGTGGCATTCCAGTCTCAGCTGAAGCGTCACCCAGCAGGCTTCAGCCTGGGTTGGATATCCATCCTGAGGTCACAGCAGCTGACACCCTCTCCTAAAATAGTGCAGATTATTAAAGGCCTTTTTATGTTTGCCTCCTGGATCGCTCATTGTGCACCATCTTAAGCTCCCCCACTCTTTCTAGCTGCATCTGTATGTCAACGCCAGTCTGGATTTAGAAGCAAACCTCTTCCAGAGGGTTTCAGTTTGGCACTTCCTTGCCATAAATTAGTCTCTCGTGTTTGGTAGTTGTCAACAATGGAGCTTAATGGATTGGCAAAAGGAATGAAAACAAAGTCGGCCTTGGGTTTGCCAGCCTCAAACTGTTTTGAATCTGTTTTTAGCTGTGGACTTCATTCATAATGTTCCTCAACACTGTTACATTATGTCTAGGAGACAACATTGTCTTTCATGCCAATATAGCTCAAACTTGTAGATGCCAGGAATTTTGCTTCGTACAGTTTGTCACATCTTGCTTTGCCCTCTACAGGTATGGGGGAAATGCCAAGGTGGTCCACTTTCTTGGAAAGACCAAACCATGGAGTTATACTTTTGACCGCAAAACCAGACAGATTTCAGGAGGTGTACAGGAGCCTGCAATGCATCCCAGCTTCCTCCTGAATTGGTGGACTCTGTATGCCAGCACTGTGGTTCCAATGCTGCAGGAACAGTATGGCGACAAGCCGTTTCACTCTGGATGTGTGGAGGTGATAAAGAATAAACTTTAATTTATATACACTTCTACACAAACTTAATTTGGGTGTAGCTGATTGGGATCAGAGGTGCAGATGTTTAAGCTGATACTTTGTATTCACATTACAAAGAGGCTGATATTGACTGGTTTTTTTTTTTATTTAATTAAAGCAAGTTTTCCTCAGCTTCCAAGGGCTTGAAGACATTTCAATGAAATTTCTGAAAGCCCTAGTGGCGTTTGGCTGTTTAAATGAAGTGATGCATGTTCCGTCTGCCTCACCGGTTTCATCCTGCTGGCCATCTGGCTGAGGGACATTTTAGCCATATTTTTTTTACAATAGGGACCAATTAAAGTTTGGAAATTTCTGATGGAAAACTATAAAAGCCTGGTGAAACTGGAGTGTTCTTTAAATGCTTTTAAATTTTACAGTTGGCAAGTTGCGAGTAGGATATTAGCGTTACAGTGAGAATCTTGTACCCGCTAATGTCTCGTAGCACTACCTTTCCTGAGTTGGCTCAAGGAGTTTGTAATAAACTTTATTACAGTTTCCAACTTGGCAGACTCCTTTGTGCCCTGAGCTCTTGAATACAAGAGACTGGCATTGTTGGTAGAACTGCCTGGAAATGCTTTTGGCTACGTTTGCACTGCAAGTACATGATTTAATTCTGCCTCTTTTCTGTCTTTCCATCCATCTCAAAGTTCAAGCACAGTGACTTGGTCACTTGTGAGACTGTACAGGTATGGAGAGGATTTGGTTTAACAGTTGGCACCTGCCTGATTGCTGTTACTTATTCACTTGTTCTAAACTGAAAGGCTTGGTTTGTCTGCCTGTGCTCATTAACACAGATTCACATGGTGTGGTTATCACAATAGGTGTCAACCATTTTATTTATGAATTTTTTATTTATTTTTTTGTCTTGTCAAATTAAAGTTACTGATTTGGATGTTTCCCCCCAGGGGGAAGATGGCTCCTCACACGCACAGGATTTCCAACCCACACTGACTTCAGAAGAACGCAAGGAGCAGTGGGAACAAGGCCAAGCAGACTACATGGGAATGGACTCATTTGATAACATAAAGAGGAAGCTTGACATTTTTCTCAAATGAAAAGTGAAGTGGGGAAAAAAAAGTACCTGGAGTCTGAACAAATGGTCGCTGTGTCTCTAAAACTCTGTAAATGGGTTGCAGTCAAACTTTCTTTCCCTTCACCAGCACTGTCACCAATGTCCAAAGAAGATTAATCTCTGAGGAAAATGACTAACTGCTTTAAAAATCAATTTGCCCTGTTACACTGTGAAAACACGACACGTTTACAATGGCATGTACTCAAGGTAGACTCTTAGAATTATTGTCAGTGCTGTTTTTGTAACGCAGATTTTAAAGATCACTTCTTTTTTTTTAACTTTCAAGTCAACATTAGTTCTGTGCTAGAGTTGGCTTTTTTTTTCTAGGATGTTTACAACGCTTAAAGGCAACTTCAGACTTGGTCACCTTGCTAGCTAGCTTCCTTTGTCTCTGATTGGGTTGTGCTGTAACAAGTTTTACTTGACGACCAGCATCGTGGGTGTGTAACTGTATTTCCTCAAACAATAAAAGCAGTGGTCTATTTCTATTAGCTTTCTTTCCTTCCAAGCTGTCTTGTATCTTGGCTCAAGGATTTTAAACTAGTTCAGTTTTTCTGCTTCATAATCTAGCAAAAACCCAGGATATGCCACAAAAGATCTGGAGTGTTAACTATGCTACAAAGTTTGTTTAGGGGAGATTAAAAGTGACTGGCTGGAGACTGTCATCTGCAAACATGAGCCCATTTAGGAACATGAGCTCCAGCTGTTAAGCCACTTCTGATGGCTAGATGATTCAAGAAGAAAAGACTGCTCACTGGTCCAAATCCACTTAAGTTAACTTGAGTCCAAATTCAACACAGTCTACCAAGATATTTAGGAGCACTTCATGCTTTCCTCAACACTTCATGAGGTAAATGTCCAGCACAAAAGTGAAAAGTGGATTATTTGACAACTTCACATATTGCAAATTGAGGAACTACTGGATTCATATGAAATGTATTTAAATATATTAAGCCTCCACTGTTTTCACGATTTTAATTCTGCCACAGTGGAGAGTTTTCAAGCAAAATCATCACACTAGCACCATGTCTGCTGATGTGATCTTTTTCTAAAATATTTGGTTCAGGATACTCACCTTATAAAATGTCTCACTTGTGAGTATTTTCCCAACTGACTTGGGAACTGTGTGTGTATGTATATTCAGAGGTTTCTCCGAAATGACGTTGTTGACCTTCCTATTCGGCCAAGTCCGCTATATTTTTTTATTTTTTTTTTTAAGGCAAGGAAGTTTCCCATGAGTTACTTCCGCTTTTACTGTGTCCCGTTAGTCGGCGTCACAGTGACGCAAATAACAAAAAAAAAAAAAACTAAACCTTTAATCTTAACACAGTCTATGGTTTTAACATTGCGGAACATCTGCAGCTGTTACAGGAGGAGATGCTTAAAAACATTTTATTTATTTATTTTTTTACCTTTAGTCGACGTAAGGAAGGGGGCGTGTCGTACAGTGCCGTGACCCCACGCTGGTGGGTGATGTAGACAGCTTTTCCAGGAAAATAAACACACAGTCGCTCCAAGATGGCTCCTCAGTCCGCTTTCCGAGTGGCGCTCCTGGTGTCCTTCTCGGTTCTCCTCACCGTGGTGCTGGGCTTCGGGCTCCCCGCTCTCCTCAACGCCATCATGAGGTTGCTGGGACTGCCGGAAACGAGCGTGACCGAGTGCATCGTCGTGATCTACGCGGCTTTTGTGCTGTATGTCGCGACGCCTCGATTCCCCAGGGGATCGGTTGAGGTAAGGGGCCAAAGCAGTGATCCTGCTACACATTAAACCAGACTGTCTGAGGAATGTGTCAATATGCACAGCAACTTTCTGAGAGGAAACTTCAGGACTTTAGATTGTCAGAAAAACTCCTTGAGTGCAAGGTGAAGGGTGCATGAGGATTAACCTTGCAAAGTCGGCTGCAGCTCTGTACCTGATAATCTTATTTACAGTGAAGTATTTAGCTTTTTTCTTTCTGTTTTACAGGTTAAAGGGAAAGCCGTGCTTATTACGGGTTGTGACACTGGGTTCGGTCTTTCACTTGCGAAACATCTGCACACGCTCGGCTACACGGTCTTTGCTGGGTGTCTGCTGAAGGTAATAATCCAATCCTTTTCAGAACAATTGCAGTAAAATCATTTTTTGGTGTTGTTTTTCAAAATGGAAACTAAAGTGTGGCGAGCCAATACTTTGCAGGAGCACTTTTTTGCTGCCACTGACGCTTTGGGGAATTTCTGTCAGTTTTGCACACAGTGACTAAAAATTCTCTGCAAAGTAAAATAAAGCTCTATCAGAAAGCAAAGTCTGATTCAGAAATGTTCATGAATTCCAGATTTGTGGAGTGCACGATTAGGTTTTTCCTTGTTAGATTTTCAATTTACTAAATGTTGTTTTATGAGCCTGACTATGTTCTTTACATCGTGCAGGACAAAGAGGGAGAGGGTGCCAAGGAGCTTGAGGAATTTCATTCAGATCGCATGAAGGTGGTGCAGCTTGACGTCTGCAGTGATGAGCAGGTGAAAAACGCCGTCGAATACATCAAAGGGAATCTGGAAGACTCACAAAGAGGTACTGTTAACAGTTTATTACCCCTAAATCCAGATAAATGAAACGTGTGCCGATTCATTACGATTCTGTAAATCCGTCAGGTCTGTGGGCCGTGGTGAACAACGCCGGGGTGTCGACCTTCGGAGAGGTGGAGTTCACCTCCATGGACACCTACAGGCAGGTGTCGGAGGTCAACCTATGGGGCACCATCAGGGTCACCAAAGCTGTACTGCCATTAATCCGCAGGGCGAAAGGTAAACCCTTGGAAGGTTTTTCTCTGTTTGTTACTTATTAACGCCCACCTTCATGTAAGCATGACATATCGCAAAAATGATGCGTCCAAAGTGCAAAATATCTGAAAGAGAGCCATTGTGTGTGTACCAACACACACAATGGCTTTGATTGTGAACACACAATCAAAGCCGTTTTTAGAGAGTTTAGGGAGCAAATGTAAAAAAATTTTAACCAAAACTATTTTTATCAGATATACACTGGTTTTTAACACAACACACTGTAAAGTACAGCTAAAGAGAAATTCATTTAGTCGAATGTAAAAACAAAAACACTGCATTGTAGTAAATATAATGCATTTGATTTCAAAATGAATTAAAAAATTTTTGCAAAAGTCTGGCATCTGTTTTTAGGCTGATCTGTTTAATTGGGTTTTTGACTTGGTGGAGGTGGGAAAAAATTCAGAGCACCTAATATTAATATCAAAGATAACCTAAGGAAACGCACACAAAAAAAAATCACGTTTTCATTTGTTAAAGGACAGAAGCTGTCCACACCAACATAGCCTCGTGTAAAAAAAAGTAATCACTCCCCTTTGATCGTATTTGTCCGAGTTCAAAACCTCTGAAATCCTTTCCAAATCCAGAATGATAAAACTCCCAACATTCTCATATTAAATTCATTAGCTCATAGTAAAGTTCATTCACTGATTGAAAAAAAAGTTACAATTTTTGATCTTCCGACCTGTTCAGCAAACTCACACCTAAACCCCCACTTGAAAAAAACAAAACTCTGACCGACGAATATAAACGCGGTTGCGTCTTATCCGCTTGCAGGCCGCGTTGTGAACATCGCCAGCATGTACGGCAGGATGGGCAACCGGCTGCGATCTCCTTACTGCGTGTCGAAATACGGCGTGGAGGTCTTCTCCGACTGTCTGCGCTACGAGATGAAGACCTGGGGAGTGAAAGTGTCCATCATCGAGCCGGGGAACTACATCGTGGCCACCGGCATCCTCACCCGAGACATCGTGGCCACCACAGCCAACAAGCTGTGGGACGAGGCCCCCGCCGAGGTGAAGGAGGACTACGGGAAAAGCCACTTTGAGCAGTACATGGCGCTAATGCGCTCTTACTGCAACAGCGGCGAGAAGGACATGACTCCGGTTCTGGATGACATCGCAGACGCCATCGGGTCCAAGCGTCCGTACACGCGGTACAGCCCCATGGAGCCGCACTGGTGGATCAGGATGCAGGTGATGACCCACCTGCCTGGCGCCTTGTCCGACTTGCTCTACTTCTAAAAGTGAAGTTTTGGCTTCCTCTCTGTCTCCTATTTCACAATAGATCAGTCGGAGTTCACCTGATGTAGGGTTTCTGATTCTTCAGCACCTGGAATCATTCACATGATTAAGCCTTAATACTTTTTAATGTTTTAAACTGTAAGTAAATAGCTGCAGTTTTTTTTTTTATATGTCTGCCTTAGACTATGTATTCAGATCTATTCTCTAAGTTTCCATTCTTTTTTTTTTTTTTTGGTTTGTTTGTTTATTTGGTATCAACAGAGTTGCAGCATACTTATAGCTTACCAACAATGCACTTTTATTGCTTGCTGTGATATTATCTAAAACAACTTTGAGCTTGTTCCTTTTTATCTTTTATTTACCATGATATTTTGCAATGTTTTCCCTCATGCAAATCGTTAGGGAGGTTGAGGGGGACGATGGCGGGGGGTTGGGGGGGTTATGGCATGAAGACAAAACGAGTTTGAAAGGGCTCCTGCTGTTCTGTTGTCGGAACAGACCGGGGCCGGACTTTGAGGGCCGCTGTGATGTTTGCCCCAGAGTTATGTAACAGCCACACAAACTCACTTTGTCCCACATGCGCCAACGAAAAACCAGCATACTACTTCACACTGAAGGGATTAATGAGGGCACTTGGAAGAAGAGGAAATGTTGTTGGACTGCCCTGTCTTTGTAAGCGGAATGTTATGTAATATATTGAATTATGCAAATGAACAGAGTGATTTATTTTAAAATACTACAGTCAGTGTCATATTTTTTTTTTCAAAACCTGACGAAATAAACCAAAAGTCGTGAACAACTTGTTTAAAGTCGTTCTGAATCATTGTAGATGTAGTTTTACTAATGGCCGCCAGGTGGCACACACGCATCACAGATATAACTGCTGGAATTAAGACACTTCTCCGTGAATTAGAACATGATTCAGGATTCATTACACACAGAGATATAAACTGCCCTTTAATGAAGGTCTATGATTATTGCTTAGAGCTAATATAACAGAAAAACTAAAGTATTGCATGAGGTCAATTACAAAAACATTATCTACCTCAAATGTTATGAATAATTCAGAAATCTCACCAAGTTGTCCCTCCATTAGTAGGAAATCTCACCAAGATGCTGAAGAGTCTGTGTGACTAAGAGTGCTGTATCTAAGCATGCTGAAGGAAAGTTAAGTGAAAGGGAAAAACTCCCAAAGTTTTCCACAGGCAACATGAATAACCACAATATTGACAGGACTGTTGAGCAAATCCCATCCAAAGGACTACTTCTGCATGGCCCAAACTTTTTTCCCAGTAGGCTGACACACTTGTGTTAAAAAAAAAATGAGTCAGTCTAAATTTCACAGGCATAAATTTGGATTTAAATTACCTGCGAGAGATAATCAGCAATAAATAACTGAAACGTGTGGTGAATCTGCATTGAGCTGAATAACAGAAAAGGGTTAACTTTATTTATCTAATATATTCAGAGCACATGTGCTCCTTTTTATATCAACATAAAAATATAACGTATTAAAAGACAAGCACAAAACTTTTTTTTTTGCTTTTTATTACATCTTTAACACTCTAAATCTTCTAAATTATTACACCTGAAGACAGTCTCCCCTCCATAAAAACAGTATTAAGAGCATAACATTACATTTTTTTCACAGCACTGCCTTTTTTTTAATCATTCCACAGCATGAATCTGTTTCTTCACTCTCACTTACAGAAATAAAATAAAAAAAAAAAAATAAAAAAAAAGCTTTGTGAGACAAATATCACCACAGAAATGTAAGCAGCACGAAAGCACCAAAATCAAACACGGGCCACTTGTTTTTAATATTATCAAGACATCTGTGTGAAAGTTTAACAATATCTCAGGTTAAGTTAGCGAGTTCAGACCGCAGGGTAGTTTACTCCCCCATCAGGACGAATAGTTTGACGAGCAGTCTTGATAATATCCGTCACAACTGACTTTTAATGTCTCTTTAAAGCAGATTTATTTTTTTTATAAAGCTACAAGGCTCTGCTCATGCAGCCTCCTTCTTATTGTAAAATGGAAAAAAAAAAAAAAAAAAATCCCAGTTACAATATCTAAGCAGCGAGATACTGTAGTTCTGTTTTAATATCAAGCTAAATATTTAAATATTGAGTTTGTTCATATTCATGTGGCTAATCTGCAAACAAAACAAAACAACAAAAGTGAAATCTTACACTAGTTGTAGATAAAGATGTAAAAATGATAACTTAAGCTGTTGACGTTTTGAAACACAAGTTACTTGAGGTGCTCATACAGATTTAGGTCATGATTACATCACACCTGGAGTTATGTTTATCACTCAACATCCGCACATGTGTTTATCACTTGCGTGTAGGCATTCACTGTTCATCTAATACTTGATGAAGTCAGCTATGGTAAGGTCACTTGAAATGGAACACACCAACTGAAAAAGGGCGTATTATGCATGACCAAGAAAAGAGAGGGAGGGGTTAAGTCCATGACATTTGCTGAGCGCTAAAGGAGGAAATGCTCTTTCCTATGAGGATGTGTCCGGCCCTCCCGACGCATCTGCTAATCGCTCCGCTGATGCACATGCAAAGCTTTAAGCAGATAGCAGTGATAAGTGAAGAGGGAAGTATGGGTTCTAAAGAGAAAAAGGGGGAAGAACAAAAAAAAAAAATAAAAAATACAAAATACAAAATCGGGGAGCTAAAGCTTTGGTTGCCGGAAAGCTGTGAAGGCACGTTAAATTCTCCCAAAGCCTTTAAAGTGGGGCAGAATGTGTTGGCGGATTCACTTTAATGCTTTGCGGCATCACAGATGCTGCAGAAACTGGGGGCTGGGGAGGAAGTACCGGCATGAACAGAAAAGTTTTTTTCTTGCAACAAATGAATCCAGCAGATAGCTGCAGATTGGGTATTTTCAAAACCCTGGAATTGAGAGGGAGGGTGGGGGGCGTAATTCTTCAACTTCAAAACCAGTGTGATTACTGAAATCCACATAGCTGCAAATGGGAATGCTAATTAATTGCCAAGTTTAATTACAAATCAACAGTTATCTCCAAAAGCTTAATAATCCTGTTTTGTTTTATGCGTGCTCCATATTAAGACAAACCGTTCAAGAAACTGTAAAATTAGCACTTTAGACACATTAATCTGAATGAACCTGTGAACGCACTGCACCTCAGTACCTCCAGTTCACACCGACAACAGTCCTCAACGTGGACGCAACTACTGAGCAAAGAAGACTCATAGCAAGCCATTTTCAGTGTCAGAGATCTGAGAAGTTATTTTAAAGTAAACAATTGCATTTGATGACATGTCAGTGGTTTATTTGGGCTGCGGGAGAAAGCAAGACTTTCAGCAGATAACAGGAGGGTTAAACAGTGTAGCAGATTTCCTGTTTTGTTATTCTAAGCTTTTTAAAATCAGTTTTGAAAATGCTGGATGATGAAATGTTTGACTTTTCTGTGAGATAAGGTACAGAGCTACATTCTCCAGAAACTACGCACGGAAGCCGGCGTTTTATCAACGCCAGCTCTGCTAAAAGCCAACATAAGATGCTGGATTTCAAAGTGTACTTTAATTCCTTTGTGTTTGTTTTGGAAAAACTAAGACTCTCACACACTGTGCGACATCACCACTACTCATCAAATAACGACGTAGATGTTTAAATCTTCCTGTAACAAGGTTCTGAAAGAAAACAATTGGGGGGGAGGGGGGAATTGATATTGATAGGTAGAAGATTGATCATTCTGATTGGTCCATCTCTACTTCTGCCAATCACCTCAGATGCTTCTATCAAAAACCTTACACCCAATCAGCTGCATGGTAGATGATGGACTGGGCGTGGCTGTTACAGTGGAACATGCTCTCCAATTCCTTAGTCTATTTTTCCTTCCCTCATCCTCTTCTCTTTTTGTGCCCGGGTCCAACCAGCTGCAGCTGGAGAACTCATCATCGCAGGCTTTGTGATGATGATGATCATCATGATCATCATCATCATCATCATCCCCCTGCTGGAGCTGCTCCCTGCCAGCACTCCGTCTGCTGCAGCTTTGATTGCTAACCTTCCACATTCAGACTCTACCTAGTCCCCTTTCAGTGAAAAAAACAACAAAAAAACAACAAAAAAAAACGCTCACTCCAAACCTTCGCTGTACATTAGAAACTTGGATCTTTTCTGCCTCCGCAAGGAATAGGTCGTTTTTTTTTGTTTGTTTTTTTTTTTCGTATGACATCCATGCTTTGCAAGTACACACACTTGACCTCCCGGTGACCCTCTATTCCCTTTAGCAATCACTAATTTAGGAGCGGTGAGATCACCCTGTTGGCTGCCTGAGCCAGTCCTCCACTTCCCCTCTCTGTTCCAGAGAACTAGATTTATACATTTTCTTTTCCTGATGACAAACAAAAAAAACAAAACAAAAAGAAAAGGACTCCATGACTCCAACGGTGAGCTTTAGACACAAAGATACTCCCAAAACCTAGAGGTGCACTAACCAATCGACCGGAGATCAGGGTAGACCAATTTGGTCAGCTTTAATTTGTGAAAAATATGATTTCTCCTCCCACTGTCATTAAGCACACTTAAGCTATAAACTTTCTACCTAAACCCATCAAAAAGCAGCATGTGTCATTAAAAAAACAAAAAACAAATATGTTTGCAGAGATGAACCAATCAACCAGCTGGAGATCAAAATCTGCCTTTTTTTTGCTTTCAGCAGATCCAGGATAAAAAGATAGATTTTTCAACAAAACTAGTAGCTCCCACCATTTTAATTCTACAGATTGCAGTAAAATGTATTTTGATGCCATTTTCTAATTTAGAAAAGGGGGAATCAGATAACAGCTAGCGGCATGGACTTTGGTCCATTAATGTGGATAATCTTGTAATTCCTTCATAAGCTGTTGGATTCCAAACCTGAAACACATTTGTTCTCATGTTTTATAATCCTTTTGGGGGCACGGGAGAGAAATCAATCAAAATCAGAAATGACAGATCCCCAAAAGTTGGTATTAGTTGGAAAAATAAAAAAAAATCAATTTCTACCTGCTGGGATTCTTAACAGAAGATAAAAGGGAGTTTGGTTTGACACTATTCTACTTATTTGCATCATGAGATTCGCCGAGTAATTTGCCTCCTCTTTGTAACATTCACATGATGTGGATACAGCAAAAATGTGGCACAAGCAGTTCTACTGTACAAAAAAACAACAAAAAAAAGCCTACTTTGCACAAGAAATGGAGGAAAACAACAAAAACGAAAAAAAAAAAGCAGATGCATTGTAACATTTCAATCTCAACAACACGGATCCTAACAAATCTAAATAAATATAGTTTGGTCACTTGATTTTTTTTTATCAATGATTAGCTGACGTTGTGGATTAATGTGTCCACAACCACAAAGAAAGAAACAAAAAAAAAAAAAAAAAAAAAAAAAAGCTTTAAGACAAACATTAAAGTGAGTCAACGTGTAAGACTTGTAGGCATGGCTCTGAGTAAGTCGTCATCTAAAAATATCTCAGTCGTGTAGTTTAAAAAAAAAATAAAAATCACATCTTTAAAGGAAATTGTTAAAAAAAAAAAAGATTATATATTATCAACATAAAGAAATCTAAATGAAACCCTAATAGATACCAAGGGTGAAATACATGCCGTTGCCTATGACCTAACGTGGATAATTTAAAATGCGACCAAGAGGCCTGTAGTCATCTCTCGGGGTCTGTAAAGTCTTTTCTTCAGCCCTCTCTCGAAGTCTCTCCCATGCTTTTTTCCATATCTCCTCTTGGAATGTTCACAAAGTGGCCATTTAAGTCCTGATGATGTGTTAAGTCTTCAGGCTTGGAGCAGAAATGTTAGTGTGTGTTCTGGTGTAAGGATCTGTTTTATATATGGAAGCCATTAATCTCTGTGCATGTGTGTGTGCTTGCACACGTGCACGTATGCGTGTGTGTGTGTGTGTGTGTGTGTGTGTGTGAGAGGATCGGATCAGGATGCTGCCAGGGCTTTGATCAGGTACAGTTTGTCTCCCTGCTCACTGGTGAAGATGGGAGCCTTTTTGTAGTGTTCGACAAGCTCTTCCATAGAGTTGAATTTGCGCTGTCCGATGCAGTAAAGGTTCTCCTTCAGCTGCACTTTGAAATGCTTGTTCTTGCTCTGCGCCTTTAGGGAGATGGAGAAGTCATTTGGCTGAAAAAGTAGAAGGAAAAACTCGGATTAGCGACCACGGACAACAGGAACGATTAGAAGGAAAAGGAAAAATCCAGAATTTTTAAAGAGAAGGTCTGTTAAAAGTTTAGCAGCAGATAATACGTATTCAGACTGGCTGGTTCCGGAGGCTGAAGCTAATGGCTGCATTGGAAGGGCCCCAAAACCAAAGCGGACATAAACCGTAAAGTACCTCTAATCTTAAAAATGTCAGAGGGTTTATGTTAATGCGTAGCAATGAGTATATTTAAGCCATTGCTACGCATTCATTGGACGGTTATTAATACTGATGATTATTTACACAAAAGACGGAGAAAGGAGATCGTGCAAACCCGGTAATATTCCTGTGTGAAACGCAAACTGAGAACTGAGCATTAGAAAACATTCATAGTCAAAGTTAACATGGTTTGAAAAACTAAAAATACGTATATATAACTAGAATATTGTTAACTTGAACTGCTGTAATAGGTTTACGTTCAAATATTTTTTTTACCAGTTAATGCTAGTTGTAATCTGTACAAATAACACATGAAATACTGTTCTTATAAATCATGATGATCAGAGTCTTAAAATGCTGAAAATCTGCTTCAGTCTTGGCTCTGCAGAGACTAGCCCATAGCTGTAGTCTTCTGGGTACAACTTATTTGCATTTATACTAGACAAAGATAGCAAGAACTTTACAGCAGAAAAAAAAGAAGCGTAGATTCTATCAAAAACTTTTTAGGGTAACAACACCTTCAAGACACCTAAAATGTTCACATCTATTTTTCAGGTGCCCTTAAAAAGTTCTGGGAAAAAGATGTTGACAGAAACTATAAGTAGGACCCAAGTCAGCTAACTAAGTGGGTAAATAACGTAGATTTATTTTTGTATACATTGTCTTGCTGAAAAATCCACCCTCATTTCTTGTTTAGATTCTTATCAAGAATGCCTCTGGCACTGTTCTCCATTCTTCCTTCCGTCACTGACGTGAAATCTGCCACAACTGAATCATCAATGACGGCCCAACACCATGTTTTCAACCATCTGATCGCAGTAAACTCCCCGAGTAGCGAACTGACTTGTCGTAGTCTTAAACCAACTTCAAAGACATTGAAAATCTTTTTACTTCAACAGTGGAGTCTTGTGCAGTAGACATTTCTAAAAGGAACTGTGGTTTTCACGAAAATTCAGGACTTTTTTGAAGCTCTCTGTAAGTGATCTGAAAATCAAATTATTCTTTTCACACTGCTGGCAACCTTATTCGTGAGATTTTTTGACGTCGTCTTGGGAGAGGGCTGGGCTTTTATTCTTCTAACATGACTCTTGTGGGTTTCGTTGGTAACGAGAAATCTTGCATCATCCCCTAATATTAACACACACCTGAATTTACTGACTAATTGGAGTTGATTTCTTTGTAGGCGTGGATTACTTGGATTGGTACTGATGTTGGTGTGCTCAATAATTAATCCTCTCTGCTGTATCAACTAGAGGTAAGATAGTAGCTGCTTATAAACTTTTAACAGAACATAATTTCAGAAATTCTGAACAACTCCTTGAATGAACAGATCTTAGTGACTGACCGATGACTCGCTATCTCGGATGAGGAAGTCTCCCTCCGTGCCTCTTTGATTTAGCGCCACCTCTGCCTGGTGGCGCGTCACTTTTCCGTAGTACCACTCCTTCCCGGCAAAGCGCCCGCTGCCTGAGGGCGAGATGTAGTCACAGTCAGGCGTTGGAGGCCCGGCTGGCCCTGCTGTGGATTTATGGGAGCTGGAGTCAAGAACAGTAACGTAGTTCTTAGGCACCAGGCCCAACTGTCCGTCTGCTTTGCGGCACTTCCACCATTCTGGGTCGTTCTCTGGTTTCTCTATGACCTCCATCACCTCGCCCCGCTCAAAGTTCAGTTCCTCGTCATTGCCAGTGCTGAAGGGGTAAAGCGCCTGAACCGTGTGCAACACTCTGTTCCCGTTCGTGCTGCTTCTTACCACGTCAACCAGCTTCTCAGTCAGCGATCCGGCAGCCGGATCGCCCAGGCCGCCCATGCCCCCTCCCCCCGCCGTCCCATCCACGTCCTCCGTCACGTAGTTGGACGGGAACCAGCCAGACCGTCCGTTGTAGCTGCCGCGCCACCAGCCGTCGCTGCACTTCTCCATCACCACCACCCGCGTGCCCTTCACCAAAGAGAGCTCGTCCTCGCGCTCCGCAGAGTAACTGAACTTGACGAAAGCGGGCACGTTGAGGTCGTACAGCCTCTCGCCGTTATCGGTGCTCATATCCGTGTCGGCGTTGGAAGCGGTGTCTCTCATCCCTCCCTTCCTGCTCTTTACCTTCCCAATTCCTAGGAGTAAAAAAAAAACAAAAAGATGATTAGCAGTGAGATCTACAAATGCAGATGGTGGTGCCCCTTATAACGGTGGTAAATACTTACTCACCTATACCCATTTCAAAGAAATAAAATGAATTTATATTTTTACAGTTTAGCCTGAATTTACAGATATAGTGGTTTCTTCATTCAAGTCAACAATCTCAGAAAATTAAACAAATTTGGGGTCTTGGGACCCTCTTCAGAAATCAAACCAAATACAACTGGCAACAGTAAAGTACAGTAATTATTTTAATGTCGGAACAGATAAAAAAAAAAAAAAAAAAAAAAAAAAAAAAAAAACAGGGGATAAAAGATATATTGGCTTTTGGCATCGTTATGCCCTGCTTAACATTAATTGACATCTAACGTTTATATGCAATAGCCACATGTCATGTACACAGCAGGGGTATCCCCACTTGTGGCAACAGTAATTTTGTTAATTGTTTCCCCCTCCCCCCTTGATTGAAAAACTTGAAATCATATTAAATATATGAATGCAGTAGAATAATCAGAGTGAGATTATTCTACTGCATTAAAAAAAACAAAAAAACATTGAGGCTACTGACTTTTTTTTTTTTTTTTTGCAGACGTCTCAATAAATTTGCCCACACCTGTGTATCAAAATAGTCTTTCCCACTCCCACCCCACTAACTTTCTAATGGTGTGGGACAAGTCTTAACAAAAACTGAAAAGGAAAACAAAAAGAAAATGAAGCACTAATTAGCATTACAGGCTTTCTAAATATCCTTTCCTTTTCACATCAGAGCCCAAACCCCCCACGCTCTAAATCTAAATACATTCTTGAGGATTAGGTCTAGGTGCTGAGGAAACAACAAAAATCTATGCTGGCATGGTGGAATAAAAACTGAATGGGACGAAAACTTGTTTTGACATGGGCCTACAAATCCTGTAGAAACTGTTTTCTTTGTGTACTGTCACCTAATACTAAAATCAGACACCTCACCCCCACTCCGGTCGGCCTGAACTCCCTGGAACAGAACAGTTCACCCAGCTACAGCCTCATTGCTGCTAATCACATTGCAATAATCACCTTGACCGGCGCTGCATCCTGATTTCAAACTCTTCTACTTCTCCCCAACTCTATGGCGTTACTGTAGTTTCATTGTTGAAGAGCCGTGACCATTTTATAACGTTTTAAACAACTCCAGCTCAGCCCAACCAGACGCTGATATCACAGACGGTGACAGATTTAGGCTCATTTCTGATTACGTTTGCAAGGCTATTGCTTGCATAATCAAAAGACAGCTGGGTGAAATTACACGGTGGAGCAGGGTGGAGTCTCCAGGACTGCGCTGGGAGGACGGCGTGCGTCGTCTGTTATCCCAGCCGCTGGGGAAACGCGAGTGTCCTTTACCGCAGATGGATTGTTACTGAAAGGTGCCTCTGACTCAAGGGGAGCAGACAAATTTCACAGTAGGGCTCAGAGTCCAACGTTAAATTGCTTCCAGGTAGAGCCTGTTATTAGTCCCACCACTGTGCATAAGTACAGAGTGCAGACAGGGTGTTAAGAGCTGATGTCTAGAGGCGGAGGTTACGTGCTGCACACATGCCAGTTAGGCATCTTTGTACCAACTCAAACAAGACAAAAAGAGATATCGGAGGACAGATCGGAAGCTTCCGTCACAAAAAGGAACATTATCAGATCAATTCCTGACACGCACAATTTAAACAGAGATACTGCAGTTGGAACCTTTATGGTTGGAAGTGACCTAATTTAGCCCAAATGAAGGTTGGAGGCCATCAACTACTGATAGAGACATCTTTAACCTCCAAATGAGAGCAGAGAGATAACAACGTTTATATTTTATCTAAGGAAGGGCTTATCGCTGGCCTTCTCACTGGTGTCCATTTACTGCTTTTGTCTGCTTTGGTTCCCTGAATGCTTTGCATTAAAAAAGAAGAGCCACAGCATTTGCATAGATGCTCAATCTGCAGCCAGGTAAGTAATGGGGAGTTTGGATTTGCCTGCACAGCTAACAGATACAGGGCTGCTACTGAGAGCAATGCTTCTCCTAAAGCCTCATCTATCATGGTGTTCTGGAGTTACGCAGAAGAATCCACTTGTCGGCTGCGTGGGAGAGCTTCCTTTACAGTTTAGCAGAGATAATATCTTTTCACATCAAACGCACGAAATGGAAACGCTTCTCCAGAGAAGGCCACAGCTGCACTGAGCTCAGGTGGCGCTAACAGATACTGGCTAGTGCTTTCCTTGATAATCAGCCAGGCTTGTGTGTTCAGTTGAGTTTTGGACATTTGTGTACAAATGGCTGGAAATCTGCAACAGTAATGTCACAGAAGTAATGCAGGAAGGAATCTTGCAGAGCCTTCCAAAACCACAGACTGAAGGGAATTTGTTTTTGGAACTGGACTTTGTTTAGACAAATAAGAATAAAAAAGGGGGCTGAAACAATTGCGCACCACAAGTTTCTGATTATTTGTGGGACATTCCAAGAACTACATCTTATTTATCTTGCACTTCACAATTATCCACACTTTTTGTAGGTCCATCACAGAAAATCCTAGCAAAATCCAACTAAAGCACAGCAAAAATCAGGGTCCAACCATTACAGATTTCTGCCTTTCTTTGGGTTCTGATCTCCAAGAAAGCAAAACATATTTTTTCCTTAGGATTGTAAAATAGAAAAGTGTTACTGATTCCTAATTAAACAGAAAATGAAGGAAATGCATGATTTTTTTACCATGTTACCATTATCAGACTTTTAGTAAACAAAACCACTTCATAGTCAATCCTTGATACCATGAAGGTGGATGTGCTTGTAAACTCTCAATAGAGGAGGTTCTTTTTATTTTACATTTTGAGGTGCTTGTCGCCACAATTCACATTATGGCAGGAATTGGGCAGAGAGAGAAAGGGAAAAGCTGGAGAAATGCAGCAAAACTCCAGAAAGTTGGGAGTGGAACCCCAGACGGCTGAGTTCAGGACTAATAGCCGCCGTGGGACCGCTCTACACTGAAACCCTCCAGAACCCAATTATGGTTTTGACGCGGTTAAAGAAAGGGGGTGGGTTTCAGTATCTGACCTACTGGTCAAGAGAAGCATTGTTACAACTACAAACAGACTGTATTTACTGTGATAAGGTGTCTTCAAAATGTGCTTGGTTGCGCTCAATCTTATTTAAGTGTTTTAGAGTTAAACAGGGATGAATACAAACGCACAACATGTTTCAGATTATATGTAAAAAAAAATAAATAAAAATAATGTTTAATAGTTCTCAAATTCATATTTACATATTAGTATTTATTTGTCTATTACATCTTATCCTAATAAACAGAGTGAAGACGGGATCACCCGTACCGAGGCATACTGAGGATTTAAAAAGTTCTGCTTTCATTTGTCCTTCTATACTGTTCCCAGTGTAGGGGAGCCAAATGTTTCCTCTAGGTATATGAAAGTACAGTTAACGGTGCTGCTGATGCACGCTGCCGGTCAGCTGGATGAAAGGAGGCTATCACACTTAACACTTGCTAGAAGGACAAATTCCACTATTTGTAAAGAAAAATCTTTAATCCATCACTCAGTGCGTCAACTTTTCTTTTTTTTTTTAAACTACACTTGCTAAGCACCTACCTGCAGATGGCATGGTATAATTCAATAAACACTTGAAAATTTCAACCAAATTTGGCCATTCATTGTGTATTTTTTTCTTTTGCTTTAGATGTATCTAAATCAAAATATTATCTTATTGGTATTTACAACATTATTAGAACTGTAATGCAACGCTTGTTATTTCTGCTTTAAATTTTATTGTAATTACTGTGATAAAGAGCCAGCCCATACCAAGTCACAGAAAATAGAAAAGTTCAAAGGTCATGACACTGCACACTATAGCTGGAGATGCCAAATTAAATTTCCCAATTTCCAGCTCGAGGGAAAAATTTACCGTCATAAAATGTTGCAAATATTTTAATTTATTTTCCTATATGGTGACATGTCGCAGTTCTTTCTCTGTATGTCACACAAAACATATACAAATATTTTATGTCACTGGGTTAAAATATGCATTTGTGGTGACTGGAAAGTGTTATTTGAAAGAGGAAGCAGACACCGCTCGGAGATCTAAAAATATCCCTCTCCCGATTTTGCCTCATTTTCGACACCTGACAGTAATCCTAAACAAAGTCAACCACTTGAACTTTGTGAACACATACGGCGTGGGACGTTCAGCTTCCCCTGAAAGCCACAAACCTTGTTGCGGCTCTGCTGCAAGCTGGGAAAACCTTATGAGAGAAATTAAAAACACCGTGCACTGGAAACTTCTCTCGTACGACATCACATGCCTCTTTTTTTTTTTTTTGCGCGCTTCCTGAGAGAGGGATGTGGGGGGAGGAAATTACACAGAATCAGATGGCTGTAAATCACTGCAAACAATGACGAAGAGCACAACACGCACATGTTGGGTTCCTCCAAAATAAAATTAAAAAAAAGAAAGAAAGAAAAAAGAAAAAAAAAACAAGAGTTTGTTTACAGATGAATCACAACAGCACAAAGAGAAGAAAGTGCCGGGAAGTCTGTCCAGCTACCGGTGACATACAGGAATGAGGATTTTTTTTTTTCTTTTTTTCTGTCCAAACTCTGGCCTGCCTACGCTAGTTGGCTGTCCATTGTCTGCAAGGGCCCTTTCGACCTCCTGGCTTCCCTCCATTCCAGGGCTCTTCCTCTGTGGACGACAACACCCCGCGTCAGCCTGTCTGACAGGCCTTTAACATCCCTTTGCTTTGACACGGACGCTTTTTCCAACCAGTCAGGTCAGAGCAAACCGGCCTGCTGCCTCTTCTGCGGCAAGTTGCTGTCACATCCTACTTCGCAATTCCAGTCAAGTTGCTTAAAATTACTGTGCAGCAAAGTCTGTCGTCTGATTGCAGACACTCAGTAGGAGCTTTGCAAGTTCATGACAACAATATGTCTTTGGACATGTCGTGGAAAACAGCAG